GTGTAAGTGTATGGATCTCTCTGACATTGTACCACAAGGTTCCATATTACAAAGGGAATGCTGGGATTGATTTTTGGGGGTAATTGCCTCCAAATTTTAGGAATTAGGGGCCAAAAAGGGGCAAAAAACAAGCATTTTTCTAGTTTCATGACAATAACTTGTGTGCAAGTCTATGGATCTCTCTGACATTGTATCACAAGGTTCCATATCACAAAGGGAATGCTGGGATTGAATTTGGGGTTAATTGCCTCCAAATTTTAGGAATTAGGGGCCAAAAAGGGGCAAAAAACAAGCATTTTTCTAGTTTCATGGCAATAACTTGTGTGTAAGTGTATGGATCATTATGAAATTGTACTACAAGGTTCCATATCACAAAGGGAAAGCTGGAATTGAGTTTGGGGGTAATTGCCCAAAAAGTTTAGGAATAAGGGGCCAAAAATAAGCATTTTTCTAGTTTCCAGACAATAACTTGTGTTCAAGTGTATGGATCTCTCTGAAATTGTACTGCAAGGTACCATACCACAAAGGGAATGCTGGGATTGATTTTGGGGGTAATTGCCTCCAAATTTTAGGAATTAGGGGCCAAAAAGGGGCAAAAAAACAAGCATTTTTCTAGTTTCATGACAATAACTTGTGTGTAAGTCTATGGATCTCTCTGACATTGTATCACATGGTTCCATATCACAAAGGGAATGCTGGGATTGATTTTGGGGGTAATTGCCTCCAAATTTTAGGAATTAGGGGCCAAAAAGGGGCAAAAAACAAGCATTTTTCTAGTTTCATGGCAATAACTTGTGTGTAAGTGTATGGATCTTTATGAAATTGTACTACAAGGTTCCATATCACAAAGGGAAAGCTGGGTTTGAGTTTGGGGGTAATTGCCCTAAACGTTTAGGAATTTGGGACCAAAAAGGGGCCAAAAAACAAGCATTTTTCTAGTTTCCAGACAATAACATGTGTTCAAGTGTATGGATCTTAATGAAATTGTACTGCAAGGTACCATACCACAAAGGGAAGGCTGGGATTGAGTTTTGGGGTGATGAATCATAAGGGGGTTCAAAAAATTTGGGGGGGGGATTCTTTTTCCTTTTTTTCTTTAAAATTTTCCATTTTAAATTGGTTATTTCTGATTTATATATAAAAGCAAATAATAATGATATGGTTTGAATAGGTAAATTAATTTTTTTTAAGTATCTTAGACCACTTTCATTCTGTGTCAGAAACCTATGCTGTGTCAAATATTTAATTACAATCCAAATTCAGTGCTGAATCAAGCTTCAATGTTGTGTTCATACTTGCCCCAACTGTTCAGGGTTCGACCTCTGCGGTCGTATCAAGCTGCGCCCCAGCGGAGCATTTTATTTCATTCATAAATTACTTTATGCTTTGAAATATAATTTTGCTTGGAGTTGAAAGAGTTGAAATGTTGCAATGTACATTTACTCTACATAGTTCTATGGTACCAAATCAAAAGTTTATATAAAGAAAGAAGTCAAAGGTTTCCCATCATAGTTTAGTTACATACATTTTTTTTGTACCTGAGGTCGTTGAATATAGATCATTATATAAATAAGGAGATGTGTTATGATTGCCAATGAAAAAACTAAGGATTTTCTTATCCAAGGAATAGATTACCTTAGCCGTATTTGGAACAACTTTTTGGAATTTTGGGTCCTCAATGCTCTTCAACTTTGTACTTGTTTGGCTTTGTTACTATTTTGATCTGAACGTCACTGATGAGTCTTATGTAGACGAAACACACGTCTGGCATATTAAATTATAATCCTGGTACCTTTGATAACTAATTTGACTATAAACATAGATAAAAAAGGTACAAACTGGACATAATGCACTAGTTCATAAACAAGTGAGAACAATCGCCTTCATATACCGGTAGTGCTCAGAATATGACATTCATAAAACTTATTCAATACCATTAGAGAACTCTAAATCTTAAATACTGAAAGCCACCTCTGATAAGTACACTGTACTATGCAAGATAATGATATAACTGGACTTAAAATACACACAACCTGTAATTAACTGCCTTTACAGCGCTTTCGTGCTTTGATTTGTTTTTACTATCAATATTTTTAATGTGCACCTAAAAAAAATTTAAATATCACCATAAAAATGCTCAATAATGAAAATATAATGCGAAGGCATATATATAATAAGACTACAATAGGGCTCAGTTGTCAAACAAAAAATGTGTGATCAATTGGTGAATGGATGCTTATTTATAACAAATAATTTAACACCCCATATTTATCATGATCAAATCAACTTCACAAAATATGGTCCAAACAAGCACATGTATTGCCCCCAGGGTACCCTTGGGTATCATAAAAGGCAGTAATTTTGCTAGACTTCAAGTGCTATACATGTAGCATGTTTACATGGTTTAGGTCAATTTGCATTTTTTTAATTTAATTTCTAAGGACCTTTTTAAGTTAACTGAAATTTTCAAATTTCTTTATGACATTTAGAGAGAAAGGTGGGCAAATGTCCTGTGACCAGTACCTACATTTCACAGAATCTCTGAGTTGGTCCAACTTTCTTCCTCTGGGGATTATTCCACCACACATTCCACAAGGGGTGTCTTTTTTGCTTTTTTTAGGGATGTATAAATACACAGCCACTCAACCTTAATCTCTATTGGCACATATTGTCTCTAGGATGTGGGTATGTTCTATGGTGTGATTTTCATTTTATAATCTCCTATATTCTTATAATGGTTGTGCTGGTTAAGATTGTGATAGACCAGATTGGTCTATAAAGTTGCCTTGGTCACAAATTGTAATTTTGCTCTTATTTCCTTACTGTTTTACCATCTATCCTGGAAAGTAAAAGTTAGAAAGTTCATAATTTGTGGTACATAATTTTTTCATGTGCAGTTTTTTTATGTAGCTGGAACACTCAAAGATGAAGTGGATTGCATGATTCATTGGTGCTGGTTTTGCTTTTTCATTTATTCAAGTTTTGTTGTAATAGAGTTTGTAGTATCCAGTTCTCAGCTGAGCAAATATGCTAAAGCGTCTCTTGGTTGGGAAGTCATAAAATATGGTTTGATTGATTTTCAGTATTTTCTCATAGAGTTCCCAACTTTTTTCTGATAAGACCCATCTTCTCTGGCATATTCTGTCAGAATGGAGAATGTATATCTTATCCTTCCAATGTATCCTATGAAAACTATGAGGGTTCTGTATGAGTCAATTGTTTTGCCTCTGTCCAACATGTCCAAGTGATTGTTTTACAAAAGTTGCTAAAAACTTCCCACTAACTGCCTCTGTGGTCTCTTGGTAGCATGTTTGCCTAGAGTGTGGGAGGTCATGAGTTTGAACCTCCAGATGGAGTCAAACCTAAGAATGTAAAATTTGTGTTTGCTGCTTCTCCACTAAGTACCTGCATCAAGGAATAAGAGCAAAGGCTTTGATTCAGAATAAGGTGTTTAAGTAGGGTGACGTCATTGTTACCTGGTGAACTAGGACATTAAGAATCGACTCAGCACGGTCTTGTAAAAAGCAGGGTTCATATTCATATCACACTTACTTAAATGTTCTTGTCTGGAATATGCATTTAATTTACCACTGGACATTTAACAATGAAATATCTATCCAAATCCCCCCTGTTTTGATCCTATTTAAACCATGTTGCAGGGCCTACTTTTTTTATCTATATATTTAAATTTTAGCTTGTCCTGGATATGCAGGAAATAGTTGCCATTGGACTTTTGGCATACACCAACCAATCAATAAAAACTTGTTTTACATGCATATTGATTGCAATACAGTCAAATGAAAACTGGTATTTAAGAAGTGAAATAAAGCATTAACATGTAATTTCACACCTGATGTCATACAAATGTACATTGTACAACAATAGTTTTTGTCAAGACATTGTCAACAAAGTTGCATCAAAAACAAAGTGAGAAAAAGATGTGTCATGTTATTTGTAAATTAAAAAACAATGATAATTTATTTATCCAAGAATTCAAGTACACTGTACATGTATCAAAAAATATTCAACTTATGGTAGAACAACATTAAATAATAAACACACTCACATTACAGAACAAATTTATTGTATAGCAGCTCATTAAAGGCTTCTTGAAATAAGATTCTTTGATTATTGTATTGCCTTGACAGAGTCAAAAAGCTAGACATAGGTATGCTGCTTCCAGTGGTGGCGGTGGCATCAACAATATATTAGTTTTTGATAAGGTCAGTTGATGGGGAACCATTAGATTTAGGTTTATGGTATATGGTATGCAGTTGTATTAGCATTGGCACATCTCATTTCCATGGAGATTATTTGGCCCCATCCCCTCAGTCATGGTCTGTTGACTTTGAAACTTTTGCTTAGTTTATATGTATAATTTGTGATTAGGTCAGTTTATGGGGAACCACTACTAAGAGGGCTAGTAGGGGCAACTATATTTGGTATGCAGTTGTATAAGCATTGGCACATCTCATTTCCCTGGAGAATGTTTGGCGCGCCCCCACAGTCATGGTCTGTTGACTTTGAAATGTTTGCTTAGTTTACATGTATTAATTTGAGATTAGGTCAGTTTATTGGGAACCACTACTGGTAAGTCAGTGATATCTGGTATACATATATATATATATAAACATTGGCACATTTCATTTCAATGGAGATTGTTTGGTCCCATACCTTCAGTCATGGTTCATTGACTTTGAATATTTTGCATAACTTACAATGTACATGTTAAATTATTGCTATTTTAATTTCAACATTTGCATTTTACTATCAAAATTACACAAAGGTGATACATATCTCTGTGTTTTAAAACAGTTTATCTATTATATAATTACTGAATTTTTTTATGAACTTAATTTTGCATTTACATTGTGCATGTATATATATGCTAGTTCTTTTGATCATATACTTTTTATTAATTTTACATTAATACATACATTTTGTACTTCAAAATGTGTTAAGATTGTTATCGGATATACAAAATACATGTTATATTACAGAAAAACCAGTAAATGCTAGTAGTAGTAATCAGAGACCCAAAAAGAAGAAAAATGGAGATGCGAATCCATTTTCATTCAAGAAGTTTTTATCTGGAAGCTCGTCAAGTGCAGGAGCTCGCCCAAAAACATATAATAATACTCAAAATATTGGCAATAGCAGTCCTCGGGTAGCTCCAGACTTTGCCAGTGATTTGCCTGATTTTGTGCAGAACCATTTTAGTGATCATACTCATGACTTAAATCTACCCGACTTTGCCATTTCTAGTCAGCCAAGTAATAAAGCAGGGTTAAATTCACATAACAATGAAGCTCCTGGTGATAATATATATAGTGCTGAAAGTGACAATCATGTGAACTCTGACCCTGAGCCAGTTGCTATGGTATCAGGTGGCACAAGGTTGCCAGATTTTTTATCTGATGGAATATTAAAAAATGATTGTGATCATAGTGACAATAGAATTTCTACTTTAGAAATAAATGGAGATTATGAACTAGAACTAAGGAGGGTGAGTACAAATAAATAGGGATTATGAACTAGAATTAAGAAGGTTGAGTACAAATAAATGGGGATAATGAACTAGAACTCAGAAGGGTGAGTACAAATAAATGGGGATTATGAACTAGAACTAAGAAGGGTGAAATCAAATAAATGGGGATTATGAACTAGAACTAAGAAGGATGAGTACAAATAAATGGGCATTATAAACTTGAAATAAGACGGGTGAGTACATTGTAGATATACTCCTTTACTTTAGAAATAAATGGGGATTATGAACTAGAACTAAGAAGGGTGAGTACAAATAAATGGGGATTATGAACTACACCTCAGAAGGATGAGTACAAATAAATGGGGATTATGAACTACAACTCAGAAGGGTGAGTACAAATAAATCGTGTAAATGGGGATTATGAACTAGAACTAAGAAGGGTGAGAACAAATAAATAAGGATTATTAACTAGAACTAAGAAGGATGAGTACAAATAAATGGGGATTATGAAATTGAACTAAGAAGGGTGAGTACAAATAAATGGGAATTATGCACTAGCACTTAGAAGGGTGAGTACATTGTAGGTGTACTCCTTTACTTTAGAAAAAATGGGGATTATGAAATAGAACTGAGAAGGGTGAGAACAAATAAATTGGGATTATGAACTAGAACTAAGAAGGGTGAGTACAAATAAATGGGGATTATGAACTAGAACTAAGAAGAATGAGTACAAATAAATTGGGATTATAAACTAGAACTCAGAAGGGTGAGTACACATAAATGGGGATTATGAACAAGAACTAAGAATGATGAGTACAAATAAATGGGGATTATGAACAAGAACTAAGAATGATGAGTACAAATAAATGGGGATTATGAAGTAGCACTAAGAAGGGTGAGTACATTGTATGTATCCTTCTTAAGTTTAGAATTAAATGGGGATTATGAACTAGAACTGAGAAGGATGAGTACAAATTAATGGGGATTATAAACTAGACATAAGAAGGGTGAGTACATAGTAGATATACTCCTTTACATGTACTTTTGAAATAAATGGGGATTATGAACTAGAACTAAGGAGGGTGTCCAAGTACAAATAAATGGGGATTATGAACAAGAACAAAAAAAGGGTGAGTGCATTGTAGATATACTCCTTTACTTCAGAAATAAATTGGGATTATGAACTAGAACTAAGAAAGCTGAGTACAAATAAGTGGGGATTATGAACTAACACGAAGAAAGGTGAGTAATAAATAAATGGGGATTATGAATTAGAACTAAGAAGGGTGAGTACAAATAAATGGTGATTATGAACTAGAACAAAAATGGTGAATACATTGTAGATATATAGACCTTTACTTTAGAAATAAATGGTGATAATGAACTAGAACTAAGAAGGGTGTCAGAGTACAAATTAATGGGGATTATGAACTAGAACAAAAAAAGTGAGTACATTGTAGATATACTCCTTTACTTTAGAAATAAATGGTGATAATGAACTAGAACAAAGAAGGGTGTCAGAGTACAAATAAATGGAGAGTATGAACTAGAAAGAAAAGGGTGAGTACATTGCAGATAAACTCCTTTCCTTTTGAACTAAATGGGGATTATGAACTAGAACTAAGAAAGATAAGTACAAATAAGTGGGGATTATGAACTAGCACTAAGAAAGGTGGGTAATAGATAAATGGAGATTATGAACTAGAACTGAAAAGGGTGAGTACAAATAATGGGGATTATGAACTAGAACTCAGAAGGTTGAGTACAAATAAATGGGATTATGAACTAGAACTAAGAAGGGTGTGTACATTAAAGATATACACCTTTACTTTAGAAATGAATGAGGATTATGAGCTTGAACTAAGAAGGATGAGAACAAAAAAATGGGGAATATGAACTATAACTCAGAAGGATGAGTACAAATAAATGGAGATTATGAACTAGAACTTTGAAAGGTGAGTACAAATAAATGGGGATTATTAACTAGAACTCAGAAGGGTAATTACAAATAAATAGGGATTATGAACTAGAACTCAGAAGGGTGAGTACAAATAAATGGGGATTATGAACTAGAACTAAGAAGGGTGAGTACACTAAATGGGGATTATGAACTAGAACTCAAAAGGTTGAGTACAAATAAATGGGGATTATAAACTAGACCTTAGAAGGATGAGTACATTGTAGGTATACTCCTTTACATAAGAAATAAATGGGGTATATGAACTAGAACAAAAAAGGGTGAATACAAATAAATGTGGATTATAAACTAGAACAAAAATGGGTGAGTAAAAATAAATGAAGATTATGAACTAGAGTGAATAAAGGAAGAAGGCTGAGTATTGTAGATATACTGATAACTCCTTTATTATATTCTTGTGATAAATTACATATGTATTTCCATATTTGTTGCTGAGTGAATGCAAACAGTTTAATGTGACACCTTAAGGTTGTCTTCCTCATAGTTATTTTTCTTTAATTTTAGAAAACCTTTATTACTTGGACAATGTATATAGCTTCAACTGATTTAGAGGATCCGTTAGATTGTGCATGGTCAAGATATAAAACAGTGTTCATGCCTGCCCAGAATAGAAGGGCAGCCCGCCCTTGGTGCCCTTACCCCCCACCCTTCTGCCCTCCAAAGCCAAAATATGCCCCCTTCTACCTTTTCAAAAAATAAACTTTCCAAATTACATGCCTACTGGGGTTTCCAGTAAAATTGTTACCAAATGTACAAGTTTGTTTAGATTAAAATCAAAATGATATGCTTTGCATCATGGTATGATAATTTGATAAAAAAAAATCTTACTGATATCAATATTAAGAACACAATTATTTCTAAGTGTGCTTGAAATACAACTAAATAAATGTCCTCCAGTTAAGCCTAGCAATATTCAAGGTTATTTATACACTGTCCAACAGTGCCTTTACAATCTGGGTTATTGCGCTAAAGTGCTCTTTCAGACAACTAGCACCCTTCTGCCCTGAGATTCAAGCTGGAACACTGTAAAAGTTATTTATATATCAGTTTCTCAAATAAATTGCATGCAAAACCAAATAACTATCATGTAGTGAAAACCTAAATGTACATGTATGCTTCATGTACATGTTGTATAGTAAGAAACAGAAAACTTTAAAAATATTCAACAGCAACACACAGTAGTACAGTACAAACATTTTATCTAGACATCTTGATGTGTTAAGCTTCACGAATTGTCTGTGTGGCTCATGGATGTCATACATTTTTCTTGGGCATTTTCTCTCAGCAATACAGCAAAATAATAGTTATTGAAAAACCTGTGTTTAAATGAATTGTTGCTTACATGTAGCTAAATGAATTACGATTAATTACATGACATGTAGATTTCGATTAATTACATGACATGTAGATTTCGATTAATTACATGACATGTAGATTTGTATTGTAAATAAACTTATTTCTGTTAATAGTTACGAGAAGAAAATTCCTTGTTACGCACACAGTTGGAAGAGGCAAGAAGAGAAGCTGTCACAGAGTCACAAAGGTACTCTAAGTCTAAAACCAAAGGTTTCTATAGTATTAAAAACAATAAGATATAGTGTGTCAGATTATGACACAATATCACTACATCAACATGAAACAAAGCAATAGCAAAGGAACAATGCATTTATTGCTGTTTTCATGTTAATGTCATAATACACCTTATTGCTTTTTGTCTGCCACTGCTGAACAATATACAAATTCCAATAACTTGTTGACGTCACAGAAGAAAATGTCTGACACAACTAAGGAAAAGTGATTTTTTTATGATGTGAATATTTCAAGTGTCCCAAATTCTCATGTCAAGTGTTGCAGATTCTCAAATAGCAATAAGATCTATTAGGTCTTTAACATGGATCAAACAATCTACCCTCACTGCAAGTTCATAATAGTGGAATTCTTTGAAAGATTTCGATCAAACTACACATGTACATTGAAGAACACAGGTGTAGGGTAATATCAACAAATTAGGAATTACATATATGATAGAGAAATCTAACAAATACTATTAATTTATCAGTTAGGTTCAAAATTTCTTTTGTTTATGTTTTGTGATCTGCCATAAATGAAGGACAGAAAATCTAAATTATAATTATCTCTCCTTAGGTTCTATCCTGGTCAACACAAGTTACTTTATTGTCTTGATTTCTTCCTGATTAAGTATGAAATATATCCCATCAGATGTCAAGCAACCAATAGTCAATTAATCATTTTTTTTGTGGTCTTCATATTCTATAAACAATTGTGTCTAGGTTAACATCTTTTTTCAGATATATAGCATTTGAATTGTTCCTAAAATTAAAAGCAAAACTGACAGTAATAAAACATACAAAAGTATATTCCTGTGTAAAAAAAAAACAGCAAAAAAAAATATTAAAAATAACATTCTTTTTTGGCATAGAATAAGACAATAGATAATCATGTGCCATTGTATTCTTCTTGGTGTTATACTGAGTAATAGTAAATATCCAGTTTTGATTTAATAACTATTTGGGCATTTTCCTATGAGGAAAGGACAAGGTTCACTTTAGGCCAAATATGGCCTTGAATTTCAACTTTATCATAAAATTTCAAAATGGCCATAATTTGGTTCTTAAATAGATCTATTTCAAAAGCCATACTGCTTTGTTGAAATAAATCTCTTCATAAGAGTACATTTTTGCTTCAAAATCAGCACATTTTGGATATATTGGCAAAATACCATGATTTTGAGCATTTTTTTTACCTTAAAGCTAGAGGAAATCCTTAGCCGCAACCGAGGATTCAAAACGTTCTGAAAACCAAGAGTTCCCAATGATGATATTGAATCCCTAGACACAAAATCTTTCTGGATCATGGGTGGCGGCCAAAGTAAATGATGCTAAAAACTGTTAAAAATTATTGAAAATTTGACCAAAACTGACGTTACAATGCAAATAATGCCTACTTAAAGAGTCAATACGTCACCATTTTTAATATGATGTGCCAAAATGAAGTTGTTTTGTATTAATAGTAATATCATAACTATTTATATGTGAAATTTATAGTAATATGGCCTGATTTTAAAAACATCAAAATCTTACAGCCAATTTTAACCCTTCGTGAACTTACTCCTTTATATCATAAGAATTTTCATGTGCTTATTCATGTACTAAGCAAAATATGGATATTGAAATTTTGGTTTTCATGTGATAATTAATCAGTAAGGACATTCTTATATAATTTCTGATTTGTTGATTGATCAGTATGATCATTTTCATGTCATTTTTTCAGATGCCATAAGATGAAGAAAGATATGGAAGACTTACAGAAGAAAGAAGCAGAAGAGAATACGGCTTTAGAGAATATGGTTCAACAGATAGAGGCAAATCTAACTATTACAACAGTATGTTACTACTAGATACAAGAGACTTCTAACTTTGTACAATGTTTATAAATACATTTTTTTGTACATTTGAGATGTACACATTTTGATTTTTTTGGCAATTTTCCAGATGGTGAATTTATCGGGTAGTAATTTTATTGATGGAAGGTACAGGTTTTGTGTAATCAACTCATTCTACAGTTTTCAACTCAGAGCTTTCCAATTTTTTATAATTTTTGTATATAAATACATGTATAGTCAATTTTCAACAGCATTCTTGATAGCGGGTACCTCTTTAGTGTAATCATTAATACTACAGCTGTAAAATAGAGCTTTCAAACATTTAAAGATGTTGTACATTGAAGTGCTTACCATGTTTACTGATTTGGGTATTATTTGCAAATTTTCCTTATTGTAAAACTTTGGTAAACTTTTTCACCTGTGTTCTGAATTTATGGTTCCCATTCTTTGTAATTTTGTCTGTTTAAGGTTATATCTCTTGAGAGAATGTAGTTTCTAATATTGCAACCTAGTAATGTCTTTGAGATTTGATTTTTTTCTGTAAAATATTTGATGAACAGCAAATAAAATATGGCACAGTCAGTTAATCACTTGACATATTTACTGTACAATTTTTTTGGCTGTCCTGAGATAAATTCTTTCAATATTTCAAACCAATTTTGCCTATGTTAATACAACTTTATGCTTGGATTCTTTGGTTTATTATACTGCTATATGATTAACACAGATCACATTTTTTGTCAGATATGCATTCCATGTAGCCCTGATAGAAGAGAACATATAACCTAGTTATTTTGGGGCCCTTTATAGATTGCTGTTCGGTGTGAGCTTAGGCTCTGTGTTGAATGCTGTACTTTGACCTATAATTGTTTACTTTTTACACATTGTTACTTGGATGGAGAGTTGTCTCATTGGCACTCATACCACATCTTTTTATTTATATTTGCAATTTGGTTAATGATATTTCAATAATTCAATTAGTTACACTTTGAACAAAATACTAATATTTGTTGTATTTCACACTGAGTTTAAGATACTTCACAAATGAAAAACTGTAAATTCAGAAAATTGTTGTGATATTGTGATTTTGGAAATGTGCATGGGAAAGTCATCGCAAAAATAAAAACTTACATTTAGAATTTTATAGCATTATTTAGGCAGCATTTTCTCTTAATAGTGAAAAAGAATCTCCTGTTTTGTTCATTTTTCAACAACTGCAATAAAAAAATGTACACATAAATTTCTAAATTTACAGTATATTTTAATTTTTCTACAGAAAAGAGCAGTACAAGCAGAAACTACAGTCAGCAAACTACAATCTGATGTCAAAGGATTACAGGTAAACATAAAAGTCTTGTAGGCTTGGATTTATCCTCACAATAGTATGGATGTCACATGATGATTATTCAGAAGTGATTTTCAAAATAAAACACATTGATAAAGAATGTAAACAATTAAAAGTTAAGTTCAAGGAACAGTAAATGGGCTATATCACAGATTTTGGTAAAATTTTGCATAAAACTTTAGCTTTTTGAACTATAACTGAATGTTGAAAAAAATAATGCATTTCATTGTTTTATTTTCTGAAATATTGCTGAATGATTTTTTTTCAAAATAGGTGACCATTTGTATAGAAAGCTCATGTTATGTTAGAGAAGTTGAAATATAAAGGTATGTTTGCAAAAATATTGGTGCCCTGCATTCTGATGTTACTCTAATTTGTTACAGAAACAAGTTTCATCATTAAGATCAGAGAATGATTTACTGCGATCAGGGGACCACGGTTTGGCTGAGATCAGAGAGAGGACAAAATATTCATCAGAACAATTAGCCAGTGCAGCTAACACTGCTGAACAAAGTTTAAAGTGAGTAAATAATTAAGATACCAATTTTAACTTCAAGTGACTTTGGTCAAAATTTTAGAGAACAAATATATGAAATAGGACTAAAAGTTTACAGACTATATTTCCCATTTATGTCAACACTGGCTAAAAAAAAGCTCTCCATAGTTACAGACAGGTAGATTGAAAATTTTAAGCATGTCGTTATCCAATCAGATTCATCAATACAAAATTATTGGATTAGATATTGTATTTTAAACTTTTGCAGCTGATGGTCTAAAATTGTAGTATAGCATTGGTTTTGTCAAATTCCTCAGTACAGCATTCTCTCTAGTGTGTGTCTAAACCAAATACCTGTCACATCAGTGTTGAAAGTTTTAAACTTATGATAGTGATTTTCAATAATGTGACTGCTGCCAGCTAAATTCCAAAATGAAAATATTTAAAGGTGCATGATTTTTCTTTTTTCTTTTTCAGACAACTTCTACAAGGAGTTGATCAAATGAAGATCTTAGCACAAGTATTATCTTCCATAGATAAGATATCTGAGGAACCAGTAGAGGACCAGCATACAGATGGACAAAATTCTAAAAATAAACATAAGCAGAATAAAAAAACTGACAAAGACGTTACATGACGTGGGGTGATATTTTCATTGGTGATGTAAAATGGGACTCAGTCTCAATTTCATAATCAGCCTCGCTTTTATTTTGATTTTCAGTTTCATATTTGTTAATTTATTGATACAAATTGTTAAAACAATTGAGGCTTAAACAATGAAAACAAAATTTAAAACTGGATTAAGATGAACAAGAAAGTCCAAAATAACTATCGCAAAATGATGAAATTTGAGTAGTTATAATCTCATCTTGATGCTCATCATGTACTTCATGTGTTTAAAGGAATATCTTGATCATTATTCCATCATCTATTAAATATCAGCTTCCCCATCTATAATCGTAGCTTTTTTATTATTATTATCAAAGGAGATGGAGTTATTTTTGATTGACCATATGTTATTATATTTAAATTTGATTGCACATCCTAAAATGTTTTATCACCTAGCAGAGAAGGCTTAAAACTGGTTGATTTGTCAGTTTGTCATTTACTGAAGCTTATTTAAGTTTAGATAATCTTGCAATATTTTTCATAAGTACACATTTTATTGTCAGCATCAGTCATCATTGTTTAATCCTTGTGAGAAAAATGAATCAGCTGTTAGTCTTCTGTATTATTTTCTCATGTGGAAATTAAACACTGAACCTGCAGTGATATATTTTTGCCATTTACATAATGTGTCCAGAAAATTTCTCCAACTAAGAAATGTATCAATTTATACCAGCTAAGTATCAAAATTAGTGAATTGCAAAGGTCTAGAAACCAAATATTGACCATGTGTGATTACCGGTATTAAAAATTTATGTTGATTCAATTAAGACCTGTAAAAACTGTTATAAACAGCAAAAACATGACAGATATACAGTACACTCTTAATGCATTAGACAAAATGTAAAAAAATATGTTTATGCATGATGCAGATTATTGTTCTATAATAATAAATATATGAACACTTATGAATGAGTGATCTTAAACGTAGTTGGTTTATTTTATTGTTGGTAAAACCCAGTACACAATTTTCGAATAAGAATAAAAAGGAAAATGTGGTATGTGCCAATGAAACGGTAATCCAACAACACAAGTTATACCATAACCCACATCTAGAGGTCGACATTAAGAGCTTCATACAGATGCATTTTGTTATGAAGTTTCTGTCTGTCATATGTCCATTGTCCTTGACCTCATTTTCATGGTTCAGCTTAAAAAAACTGTATAGTTTTTTTGCAATGTGAATTTCTCACCTATTATGATTAGAAGATAATTAAATTTGGTATATGGGATACTGTAAGGTACATGTCCATCAGACATGGTTCACCTTACCTTGACCTCATTTCATAGACCAGTGATTAAAGTTACATTATTAGGTTTGTTTTTCAGATACTATAAGCAGTAGATCAGACTGGTGTGTTTCATCTGACCGTGACCCCATTCTCATGGTTTATTGGTCAATGTAAAGTTTTTGTATTATGGTCTGATTTTCAGATACTATATACAATATGTTTACTATATTTGGTGTATGGAATAACTATATGTACATGTTTGTCTATAATGGTTCATTTGATCTTGACCTCATTTGTATGGTTCATTGTTCAATGGAAAGTTTTCCTGGTTAAGTCTGTTTCTCAATACTATAAGCAATAGGTCAGCTATATTTGGTGTATTATGGAATGATTGTAAGGTGTACATGTCTGTCTAGCAGGTATCAACTGACCTTGACTTCATTTTCATGGTTCATTGGTCAATGTTAATTTTTATAGTTAGATATATTTCTATAAACAATAGGTCAATTATTTTTGTTGTATGGATTGATTGTAAGGTGTACATGTGTCTCTTGCAGGGTTCATCTAACCTTGACCTCATTTGCATGGATCATTGATAATGTTAGGTTTATGTGATACTTGTAGTTAAACCTTTATTCTAATGACTTTCAACATAAAATCAATCATGATTGGGAAAGCAGGCTAGACATTTCAGTGTGTGTACTATTGGGTATTATGTTGTTTATTTATTTTTGCAGTGCATTGATCTGTATAGAATACAAAATGTAACAGCTTCTAAATATTTCATAAAGTATTTAAAATGTTGCGGCAACTTGCCTAATGTAATTTTATTGCCAAGCTTCAGGTAATGGAGCAAATGTACTGTGCTGTTGTAATCATTAAAGGCATTTCTCTTTGTATAGGACTGACCACCTAGATGGTCTCCTGGTAGTATGCTTACCTTTAGTGTGGGTCTTGGGTTTATTCCTTAGCCAGGTCAAGTCAATGCTTTGGAATTTGGTATTTGCTGCTGCTTAGCAAAGTAAGTGGCATTTAGGAGTTATAACAAATTAGGTGGACTCAGAGTCGATAGTGACATGTTCTCATTTTGAAATGTTTCGTTTCCATTCTCTAACTTAAGTTTGCCTCAACCAAATGTTATAAAACTTATACACAATGCTTTTTATCACAAAACTCAGATCAAATGCAAATTTGGGTAGCGTTACTTTTACCATTCTTGAGTTATGTCCTTTATAAAGTTATATGCAAGTGGGGGCATCATCTGTGTCCCATGGACACATTCCCCATTTATTTTTTATAAAGTTTGTAGAAAAACAAAATATATAAGTTAAAGGCACCAAATAAGTAAACATGGATAAAACTTATGGCAAAAATAAGCATGTTTTAAAGGTCAAAAGTATATTGAAGATTGAAGCATCTCCGAGGACAAGGAAAATCAAACATTTAAAAAAAATAAAGAACCACACATGATTGACACATGCAGTGCAAAAACTGGCAAGAATAATGGTGTGGTTAGAATAAATTATGTAACAATTGAACATAATTACAAAAATCTGAGAAAAATCAATTTTTTTTCAATGAAAGCTTTGTTAAACTGTTGATCCATGTTTTTTAAACTCAACCACATCTATGTGTAGTTTTTTTAAAGGCAGTGCTTTAATGCCTTTCTAGTTGCCGGGTTAATCCTTCCTTCCGCGATATCCAACTTATCTACGTGGGGGGTCATTAGACTCCAAGTAGATCCGGAAATGTTGAATTCTCTCCTATTCTTATTGCGATATAAAATGTTTTTTGTTTCATTTCATTTACATTGGGAAATAGAGAAACGATCATTGTATTTTGTTAGTTTTAAAAACTTTTGATATATTAGCATTTTGCATTATAAGCAGTCAACCGATTGACAAACTAGAATTATTTGAATTCCGTGTGGAAAGAGCTCGGGTTAATTTCGAGTGTTATCTGCAATCTAGATGTTTATAAATCATTTCAGTCGTTGATATAATAATTAAAGGTCGACTGAACATGAATTATATTATACAATTTAAAGCGCATTTCTGTTTATGCACGTGAACCCGTCTAACGTTATTTTCGCAGTTATATAAAGTAGCAAATTATCGTTCCTGAATAGGTGGCGCCGTGGTAGCGGATCCTGTTCCTCTTCTTCCGGTTTCTGCACTGTGCAACTATTTCAGTTATATTTTTAATAAACGATGCCAAGTACTTGTTGTTGTGTACCTGGATGTCATTTAAGAGGAGGACATGCATTTCCAAATGACTTAAAAAGAAGGAAAAGTTGGATCAACGCCATGGCCCATACGCAGATTGGACGAGAACACGATGATATCGTGGAGTCCATCTCAATCAGCTGTTGTTTGCAAGGCACGTTTTACTGAAAAAGACTACGTGCAGGAAACTATTCATGGTAAAACTCTATTTTCTTTGTGAAATATATAGTTATATATGTAATCTCCATGCGAATAAACCAAAGTCTGTTTACAACCGCAATTATCGTTTTAGAATAAAAGGGGGTGGGTAATTCAAGACGTCATAATTTTTTGGATTACGATTCAATGTGATCTGTTTGAGATTTTTTGGTGATTGCTACAATTATAATGATTTCTTACAAGAGGTATATCATACTGAGAATTATTTTAGCAGTAATTATGCTAATGTAGTAATGACAGGAATGCATAAGCTATGCCTCATAGACTTTCTTGAAAAGTATCAATGACAATGTTAACAGGAACAAAACAATGACATGCTCTCATCTATATTATAGTTATTTAGGTACAAACAATGTACGTTTGTTGCATAAGTCTCTCATTGTTTGTCCTTTGGATTTACATAACATACATTGAATCAGGCAAACATAGTTTTATCCAGATTGTAATGAATAAATCTAGTTAATATTTCGCCAGGTAGTACAAAGTATACATTGCTAATGGAAGTTCATTTAATTATAAAAAAACTAATGTTTTATAACCTTTTTCAGGGTGCAAACCCACCATACAGAGACTTAAGTCTACTGCAATTCCCAGCCTATTTTCCTGGACCAAGCAAGAGACTGAATCGTCCGCAAAAAGAAAAATCAGGGCAGTTTCCTGTGAAAACAAAAGAACTAAACTTGATGAATATTGTAGTAGAAATCTAGAGGAAAGTTTTGATTGTAAAGTTGGTTTTCCTGAAGAAGTCATTCATACTGCAGAAAGGATTTATGACTGTCCACCACCAACTGCCGAGCTAATGTTGAGCTTCACAGATGGAATTACGCAAACACCATCAATGCCTATGTTTTCAGCAGAGAATTTTGAAATGAAGACACGTGACACAGCCATGCATTTTTATACCGGTTTAGAGTTGTATACTAAATTTTTATTTGTTTTGACCACACTTGGTCCAGCAGCACATTGTTTGAGATACATATATTTTCAAATTGATAGGGTGTCAGTTGAAAATCAGTTTTTTTATGACTTTGATGAAATTGAGGCATCATACAACCAACTTTGAACTGTCTAGATTCTAGATTGAATCTAGTGTTAAGAATATTGTGTATACATGGATTGTTTTTATGTCTAAACAGTGGTGTGAGGCTAACACTTGGCCATCTAGTGGTTTAGTCAGGTATTTTTCACCATCCAACTTCAAATTAAAGTTTCCTACGACTTGGATTATTATTGACAGCACAGAATATCCCGTGATAAAACCTAAAGCTCCTAGAGCTCAGGCAACCTTTTCATCAAATAAAAACAGAAACACTGAAAATTCTTGAATGTTCGACACCTGGTGGTTTAGTCAACTATGTCTCTATGTCACATAGAGCGAATTATTGGACTTGGCAAAACATACAAAATTCTAATAAATCCTATGAATGGAACTGAAACAAAACTTTCATCTGAAATAACATTTAGTTGTTTTATGTTGTGTAATTTTAAAAATTGTATTGTGCCAAAGGATGCATAAATAAAAGTGACGCAATGAATTTTGTTCTGATATATATATATTTACAATTACATGCACATGTAAATTGTAATGCATATAAAAATAAGGAGATGTGGTATGATATTCAGTGAGTTTATCAAACTAAAGTGCATAAGAAATGGGTTTAAGCAGTTACAGGTGTTACTGTCACCGTACAATCTCCAACAATGAGAAAAACTCGTACCCTGTAAAAAATTTCAGAGATCTTACAACTAAGTTTTGTTGTCTCACCTTGACTTTGGTGAATTTTTTTATATCTGTTGATGTAAATATAAAAAAGAAGATGTGGTATGATTGCCAATGAGACAACTCTCCACACATGCACAAGAGACCAAATGACACAGAAATTAACAGCTATAGGTCACAGTACGGCCTTCAACAATGAGCAAAGCCCATACCACACAGTCAGCTATAAAAGGCCCAGAAATGACAATGTAAAACAATTCAAACAAGAAAACTAACGGCCTATTTTATGTAAAAAAATGAACAAATATAACAAATATGCAACACATAAACAAACGACAACCACTGAATTACACTTTTATAGGCTCCTGACTTGGGACAGGCACATACATGTACATACAGAATGTGGCCGGCTTAAACATGTTAGCGGGATCCCAACCCTCCCCCTAACCTGGGACAGTGGTGTAACAGTACAATATAAGAAAGAACTATAAAAATCAGTTGAAAAGAGGCTAAACTCATCAGATGGATAAATACAAATACAAGTGGACGTGGTCAGGTAGTTGTACATCCAAACAACAAAAAGACACTAAGTACAAATCTGAGAGTACTCGCAGTTACTGACAGCTAGTTCAAAGCCACTAACAACTGATAAAAAAATCTTGCATCTAAGACTAAATTATCAATCCGTAAGCTCCCTTTAGAATTTTATAAATTTTAGATTTTACATTTCTGAGTTGTGGGGTTTTATTCATTAAAAAAGGGGGGATTTTCCAGTTTTTGGACAACAACTCAAAAATGCTTTAAGCAGTTCACATGAAACTTTGGTGAATTATTTATAGCTATTGATGTAATCTCCCTATTGATTTTCATAAATTTCAAATATGACATTGAGAAGAAATTGAACTTTATTTGTTTATACTCTGGCAACAGATTTATTAAGTATTGCACAACAGCACAGTGTATTGCACAACAGCAAGAAATCTTTAATTGAATATAAATTCAATTCACATAACCGATTTCAAGTTCATTGACTACATTTATTCAGAAACTATAATATGTCAAATATTTAATTACAATCCAAATTCAGACCTGTATCAAGCTTGAATATTGTGTCCATTTTTGCCCCAGCTGTTCAGGGTAGTACCCCTGCGGGTGTATCCAGCTGCGCTCAGCGAATCAGTTTATTTCTTAATTAAGAACTCCTTTTTATACAACCGCAAACAAATTTTTGTGGTCGTATATTGGTATGACGTTGGTGTCGTCGTCGTCCGAAGACACATTAGTTTTCGCACTCTAACTTTAGTTTAAGTGAATGGATCTCAATGAAATTTTAAAATAAGGTTCAATATAACAAAAGGAAAGTGGGGATTGATTTTGGGGGTTATGGTACCAACAGTTAAGGAATTAGGGGCCAAAAAGGGGCCAAAAATAAGCATTTTTGTAACTGTCAGACATAACTTGTGTGTAAGTGTATGGATCTCTCTGACATTGTACCACAAGGTTCCATATTACAAAGGGAATGCTGGGATTGATTTTTGGGGGTAATTGCCTCCAAATTTTAGGAATTAGGGGCCAAAAAGGGGCAAAAAACAAGCATTTTTCTAGTTTCATGACAATAACTTGTGTGCAAGTCTATGGATCTCTCTGACATTGTATCACAAGGTTCCATATCACAAAGGGAATGCTGGGATTGAATTTGGGGTTAATTGCCTCCAAATTTTAGGAATTAGGGGCCAAAAAGGGGCAAAAAACAAGCATTTTTCTAGTTTCATGGCAATAACTTGTGTGTAAGTGTATGGATCTTTATGAAATTGTACTACAAGGTTCCATATCACAAAGGGAAAGCTGGAATTGAGTTTGGGGGTAATTGCCCAAAAAGTTTAGGAATAAGGGGCCAAAAATAAGCATTTTTCTAGTTTCCAGACAATAACTTGTGTTCAAGTGTATGGATCTCTCTGAAATTGTACTGCAAGGTACCATACCACAAAGGGAATGCTGGGATTGATTTTGGGGGTAATTGCCTCCAAATTTTAGGAATTAGGGGCCAAAAAGGGGCAAAAAACAAGCATTTTTCTAGTTTCATGACAATAACTTGTGTGTAAGTCTATGGATCTCTCTGACATTGTATCACATGGTTCATTATCACAAAGGGAATGCTGGGATTGATTTTGGGGGTAATTGCCTCCAAATTTTAGGAATTAGGGGCCAAAAAGGGGCAAAAAACAAGCATTTTTCTAGTTTCATGGCAATAACTTGTGTGTAAGTGTATGGATCTTTATGAAATTGTACTACAAGGTTCCATATCACAAAGGAAAAGCTGGGTTTGAGTTTGGGGGTAATTGCCCTATACGTTTAGGAATTTGGGACCAAAAAGGGGCCAAAAAACAAGCATTTTTCTAGTTACAAGACAATAACATGTGTTCAAGTGTATGGATCTCTCTGAAATTGTACTGCAAGGTACCATACCACAAAGGGAAGGCTGGGATTGAGTTTTGGGGTGATGAATCATAAGGGGGTTCAAAAAATTGGGGGGGGGGGATTCTTTTTCCTTTTTTTTCTTTAAAATTTTCCATTTTAAATTGGTTATTTCTGATTTATATATAAAAGCAAATAATAATGATATGGTTTGAATAGGTAAATTAAATTTTTTTAAGTATCTTAGACCACTTTCATTCTGTGTCAGAAACCTATGCTGTGTCAAATATTTAATTACAATCCAAATTCAGTGCTGAATCAAGCTTGAATGTTGTGTTCATACTTGCCCCAATTGTTCAGGGTTCGACCTCTGCGGTCGTATCAAGCTGCGCCCTAGCGGAGCATTTTATTTCATTCATAAATTACTTTATGCTTGGAAATATAATTTTGCTTGGAGTTGAAAGAGTTGACATGTTGCAATGTACATTTACTCTACATAGTTCTATGGTACCAAATCAAAAGTTTATATAAAGAAAGAAGTCAAAGGTTTCCCATCATAGTTTAGTTACATACATTTTTTTTGTACCTGAGGTCGTTGAATATAGATCATTATATAAATAAGGAGATGTGTTATGATTGCCAATGAAAAAACTAAGGATTTTCTTATCCAAGGAATAGATTTCCTTAGACGTATTTGGCACAACTTTTTGGAATTTTGGGTCCTCAATGCTCTTCAACTTTGTACTTGTTTGGCTTTGTTACTATTTTGATCTGAACGTCACTGATGAGTCTTATGTAGACGAAACACACGTCTGGCGTATTAAATTATAATCCTGGTACCTTTGATAACTAATTTGACTATAAACATAGATAAAAAAGGTACAAACTGGACATAATGCACTAGTTCATAAACAAGTGAGAACAATCGCCTTCATATAGTGCTCAGAATATGACATTCATAAAACTTATTCAATATCATTAGAGAACTCTAAATCTTAAATACTGAAAGCCACCTCTGATAAGTACACTGTACTATGCAAGATAATGATATAACTGGACTTAAAATACACACAACCTGTAATTAACTGCCTTTACAGCGCTTTCGTGCTTTGATTTTATGTTGGCATGCATTAGTTACAATAACGCAAAAGTTTCAACAATTTTAAATGGATTACAAATGATAAAACTATGAAGACCTACCTACAATGTTTATTCCTGACACCTAGATTGATTTTGTTTAACCCAACATAGTACAATGTTTATGATTTAGAAAAGACGAAACACAATAACTTTGCTGAAGTAAGATGATACAGTGTTAGTATACACTTAACAAGGTATTTACATCTATTGAGTTGATTGAAGAGGACAGTGGTTCTTGGTTATCTTGGTATTATGCAGGTACTATCAAATCTGTGTGGATATCATACGGGAGAAAAGGAGGCTGAATGTATCGCCTGATTGCAGACGGGAGTTTTAAAGTATTTTGTACCTGCAAACTGAGAGCTGCTTGTATTGTGTCATTATAAAAGGAAGGTAAAATGTTTGTGTTATTGTTGACGAACTGTTAATTAGTAAATTGTGTTATTTCAGACGGAACGTTACATCTTATACCAGACGAAATATTATATGCATTTTGCTATGCAAACGGACGGTTAAATGTTGAATTTCTATTTTGCATATTTTCAGAGGATTGGACTCTGTATCTGTAATGTTTGTAATGTCATTCACAGACGATTAGAGGTTTTCTGAGTCGATTTATAATATGTATTATATCGAAATAATGTCATTACAGAAAAAAAACTGAAATTCTTATTCAGTGGCACACGTCTTTGCAGATAAATGATTAGATACATGTACTCTATTTTATAGACATTACTACGACACATTTTTGCAATATATATTGTCACAGATGACCTCCGATATGTTCCATTTGTAGTAACCTCAACCCTGTTCTCAGGCCATTCTTCGGGTATGACTATCACAGAATGAAAATTTGTTTACATATCATTAGCAACACGACGGATGCCTAGTGTGGAACATGAACTGCTTACATTTGGAGCGCACTAGTTCGTCTTTTTTTCTCTTTTGGTCATGGTTGCCTTCTTTGTTTCTTTTAACCTTTTTGCAAGTTTTTTAATGTAGAAAACCACTTGAACCGTAAAATGACCCAATGACCAGAAGTCCATCCTTACATCCTAGCAATGGACTTCTGATATGACTTACCGGTGATTGGGGATTGTACTATCGACAGTAAATTGGAATCAGTTTTCTTGTAATGAACCAACATCAAATGATAAAGACCACCTAAAACTATATCAAACTCTGCCTTATTATTGTACACCAGCCTGATCTTCAGTATATTGATTTCATTCATAAGTTTCTATATTAAGAAAAGACCAAATGAAAGCTTTTAAATGTATATCATAAGCCGAATGGATAGCCAGTTATGTTACATGACACCGATTTATTTATATAAGGGATACAGTTTGACATAAAATAATTTACATACATGTATATACTAGTATCTACCGTGTAATCCGTTAAAATTGAAATTTTAATTCATGCATATATATTAACTTCAAAATTGAATTACTTATGATCATTTTCTATTTAGAATATTGATATCCATATTTTGAAGTCGGGGTCTGTATAGCAGTTTATACGGTATGCGAATTGCTCAGTGTTGAAGGCCAGTCGAACGGTGACCATTAGTTGCTTACATCCACGTCATATGAATGTCTCGTTTGGCAATCATGTCACTTCTTATTTTTATATACACAAACACCGAAACCAGGTGTTGCTACAAACTCTTTATTTAAGAATTGAATGCTTCTTTTTATTATTTTATTGGGGCGTAAAAGCGTTGACCGAAGCACATTTTGTTCCGCGCTTCATTCTAAAAATGTGCGCACGATCAACGCTTTTATAACCCAATAAAATTATAAAAAGAAGCATTCATTTCTTACACACTATTCACGAACAGAACACAGATCGAAATTTAGTGTTATTTATTACGTATACTAATAGATGAAATGAAATAACATGGTTTATTGCACTGAAAATGTATATGAGTCAAATAAGTTAAACCGTCGTTCCACCTCTATTCCGACAACAACATGAAGCAAGAATCCTTTTTATCAAATTTTTTGTGTCTTTTCTAAAATTTATGTTCAGAAAACTGTAAATACAAGGATTAATAGCATTGTTGATAAAATACGATTTTGAGCAAAATTTGTAGAGCATTTCACCAGCAGACGACAGGGATTCTTCAAAGTCTTTTTTCGTACTCCTTAAAACCATGACGATGAGGAATGGAAGGAAACTAATGACGTAAGCTACAGTTACGGCAAATAATACAACAGTCGTACGAGTAACTTTAATCTGGTTTTTCGAACTTTGCTTTTTAAAATTTCGTGCAGATATTGTCGATTTCCGTCTTTCACTTTCCCAGCTTCCGTCATTTCCGGACGACATTTCAGTACTTATTGGGTCGTTTGACACACCGTCTGATGAAGGTCTCTCTTTTGACGTCGGAGTATCTGGAAGTTTTTCTCCAATTCTTGTTCGCTTACGTTTCCAAATGACTAGACCTATTTGCAAGTAAATAATAGTAAAAAATATGAAACATCCTATGAATAACAAGAAAAGAAATCCATAATAAACTGTCGGATACACAGTACCTCGCATAGAGTCATCGGTTGAGCAGTCAATAGCATTTACTCCTTCGAGTCCAATATCGACACTTTTTTCTCCAAACAAAATGCATGCTGGCCATGCCGCTAGTATTCCGACGACAACAGATAACAAGCATGCAATTTTTGCGTGCTTAACAGTTACTTGTTTTCCAAGGCGACAAATTCGAAAAAATCGGTCAAATGCAACGGCTATTAGAATTATTGACGATCCAATAATAGAAACAGATTCAATAAATCTCAATAGTTTACATGCAGCAGGAGCGTAAAACATATAAGGGTATCGAAGATCAGCTACTTCCGTCGGCATTCCTACTAAACATGTGAGCAAATCCAACATGGCGAGCGCTAGTATGAAATAATGTGATGATGTTTTTGTTTGCTTACTGAGGTAAACGCAACACACCAAAATATTACCAAACGTTCCAACAAACATGAGGATTAACATGTAAATTATTACTGGTAGATAAAACAGAGCTTTCTCGTCATTTAGACGAACGAGTTCGGCATGAGTATCTGTGATGTTTGCAGAAGACATTTTTCAATTAGATTAGTTTCTTTTCTCAATGTTGTTTTTCATTCTTAATCTGAAATAGAAAAATGCAAATTTCAATAAAAGACTTTCGTGTTCGTGTTTTGGTTTGATTATTCTAAACTTAAAAAAAGAAGATGCGGTATGATTGCCAATGAGACAGCTCTCCACCAGAGACTAAATGACATAGAAGTTGACAAATATAGGTCACCGTACGGCTTTCAACAATGAGCAAAATCCATACCGCATAGTAAGCTATTAAAGGCCACGAAATGACAAATGTAAAACAATTCAAACGAGAAAATTTCAGATCATCTCAAGCTTAAAAAAAAACAAACTTAAATGTATTTTGTATTATGAATTTCAGAAATGCTAGCATTTCCTTCAAGTTACTAAGAAATGCTGGTATTTCATTTTTCAAGTTACCAGTTGTTTCTTATACTTTACCAATCTTTAGCCCTCTGCAAATAAAAACGTACCTCTATTAGCGACACATAGAAATATACACGTCTCTGTGTTTGTCCGTTAATACGAACGCATTATATTGTCAATTACATTTCAAAAACTACTCGACAGAATTAAGCTTAAATATAATCTTGCATCCGGTCTGGTGTTTGCTTTTAGGGTTCCTAATTGAGATTTAAGTGGAGTCAAATGTGTTTTAAGTTAATTTGGTGCATCAACTTCGTATCCGAAAATTTATAATTTCTGGTCTTCTGTGGCTCGAAACCGAATATAGGAAATCCAAAAGTATCAAACTTTGATTATAAAATAATGCGTGGCAAATTCACAAAAAAAAAAAAAAAATACCTAACCAGGTCTGTCTATGTTCAATTTTTACACAGTGCAAGTTCCCTACAATAGGTAGTAATAACGTAGAGAGTTAACTAAAACAGCCATATGTTAAAAGCAGTATTTATAAGTTCTTTTGAAGTCTTCGTCTATCTACTCTCTTTCAAATGTCAGCTTGTATCTATTTGTTGTTATTAATCTCTCGTATAGCCAAGCTTTATATAGGTCGTGCGAAAAATCATTTCATATTTGTTTGCAAAATGAAAAAAAAATGTTGAATATGCTTTATTTACTGGCTATATTCCATTGGCTTCTCAGATTTATAGATGACATACCTTTGTTGGTTAGATATGCGTGTGTTTGCAGAGGCGCATCAGATTTCAAAGCTTCCTATATTTAACGAATAAAAAACTAAACAGTAGGAGTACACATACTATTAATTCGTCAATACGTTTTTGATTGTATTACAAGTATGGAAGTTTGATTCAACATGAAGGCATTTAATCAAAATGATATTTCAAATTAATGGTAACACTATTAAAGAGGCAAACAAGTTTAGGAATTGACATTCAACTCTTTCTTTTTATCTTAATAAACCTGTTGTCAGTTAATCATTAAGTCTGGTATTTTGGTGGATCGTTGTCAATTCGCTTTTTTATAGTTTGAAACAAGACAAAACTATATCCTTGTTTTTTTCTGTATTTCAATATTGTACAAATTTACTTTGGGCATTGTGCAAGATCATATCTTGCTGTTTAATTCAGTATATTGCGGTATGGAGACTAATGTAAAACGCAGCCACAAATATAAGAATTGTAGGTTTGGTACTTCGGACTTGTTCTAATTTTTATTTTAGTATTATTTAGTGATTTTTTCCCCTGTATATCTGTTCTTTTGTTAGTTATTATGCCGGGATTACAGTTAAGTGCTTGTCTGAACTGATTTTATGTTCTGTGTACTAACTTTCATTCAACTGATCAAAATTAAAAAGGGGGACTGGTTGAATGCTACAATGAACTATTTAACCCCTGAACTATGTTCTGGTGTCTGGCTTAAATCATAAACTATGCCAGTGGTTGTCTAAAATTATAACCTAATGATTTTTCTTTAGAGAATTTAGTATTTACAACATGTATTTGATAATTCCTGTTTTATCTATTCATTTCTTGTGTAGACTCGGGGCATTTTTAGAATAACATACCGGTAAAGTAAAGACATATGTCCATTGTTGAAGACCATATGTTCATTTTATATGTCATTTGGTATTTTTGTCATCGAATTACTCTCTCATTCGCGAAAACACAACGTCTCATTTTTTCATACATAAATATATAATTTCATCATTATTTCGGGGATTTCTAAAGACATGGAACAACTCATTCTGATGGATAATATATTTTTATCCGAAAAAAATGTTTTTATTGGGGTTTTCTTTCTATTTGCATTTTTGTTGTTGTTGTTGTTGTTTCGTTGTACATTTACCAGACATAATATTTTTTTGATAAACATATGTATATGCAACCCTCACAGCCTACAGTATTAATTTCTTAAAAACTTCTTGTCATAAAGTCATTTTTCTACACGCCTCTTTACTTACAACTATACAATACATGGCTATGCAGGGATTTCATTAATTTATACTCTTTCTTCTTGGAATCAGTGTAATCAACAAACAATAGTTCACCTTTTGGCCTTCAATATTTAGCAACTCATACGTATATACACTAACATTCACTTTACATCACCACAAAACTATTGCCAATAGATTCAATTTTGATTTGAAGCCTAAACTTGTAGTATTTGTTACGTTTTAATTGTTCTGTACTTAACATATTTTCGGATGAGTATCGTGCAAGATTGGTTTAATTCCAAACAAGCTACCCTATTGAAATAAATGTATAAGATGAAGATTTTGTACTCTAATTATGAACTCTATATTCAAATTGCTACCCAAGCATCTTAAATAGCTACCTTACTAGACTAAAATTTTAAACCTCTTGATTTTTTATCAAAGAATCTTTACCATATTTTGAGGTTTCAACAAACGATTTCTTACATCAAAATTCAAAATGTTTCGTTCTAAATGATTCAGCTCAAAGCCGAAAGATCATTTTGTTCATTTGACTTCACAATTGTATGAAATTTGTTTTACTCTTCTCTACTTTGCCACCTTCCGTAAATCAAGATTTTCAAAATCATGGCCTTATTAATTGAAATTTGTCCATACCATATCCATTTTCATGTATAATTTATATAAATTTCTGATACAAAAATCATTGTTTATTTGTGTATAATTGCGATACAAGTTTTACACCAGTTTCACACTTAACTGCGCATGTCTGACCAAATTAGCCAAACTATGAAATCACGCGATAATTACCGATAATTCATGGAGTGGGGGCTAACGGTTGATAAGCAGTGACCATGCAGACCTGGAAAAACAATCGCCTGATGAAGTGTTTGCGTTTACATGTTCATGCAACACGAGCATCATTTGAATCAAAAGATATATGTATGAACATATACTGACGAGACAACTTCATTAACCAAATAGCTGCATAGCATATGGGACATTTAATATTGACAGTATACTATTCCCAGGTAGCAACAGTTGAAGATGAATATTCTTTCCGATAAAAATGATTCTGGCTTCCGTTATAACCAACCTATCTGTCTGTAGGACTAGGCTACTTCGAAAGGAGGGTAGTATACCTTACCTAACAATGACTTCACGGTTCAGAATAGCAAACTGAATGTAGAAAAGGGTACGTTTTTATCAATTGTCACCTGGTGAGATTGTACAAGGTAAAACTAGGATTCCACATGGCTAAGGTGTTAATTAACTTCTTAATTTATGACCTTATATATGGATATGAAGTGACCCCCGTTTACTTATCTATTTTATTCTTCCCGCTAAGTGAACGACATCAGCATGAATACAAGCATTTCTTCGTGACAATTAAAGGTACAAAGTCAGGCGGCATATCAGATCGTCTATTACTGCAACCAACAACAGTAGCCCCCTGTAAGTTATGATATCGTTAATTATCGCAAGATTTAAACTAAAACGTGGATATGATTTCGTGATCAGGGTTGGTAAGTCGCTTATGTGAAACTGGTCTATTCCTTTTTCCTATGTTTCTTTAATGATAATGATTTTGCTAAGTGTTCATAGTCCTTCTCTTACGTAAATCACAACCAACTTTTACTGGCAGACGGAACTGCAAATGCTGATATTTTCAAAACACTGCTTTCACATTATATAATAAATGTAAAATGTAAATTCAATATAGTTTTTGATTATAAAAATACAAAACTTAATGAATAATTAAAATCAAAATGTTTGCGTTATAATGGAAAGGTTTGCGTTATCTCGCAAAGGTTTGAGTTATTACGCTATTTCTCAAAGGTTTGGGTTATTTCGAAAAGGTTTGCAGGGGTGTAGCTGCCGTTAAGCACTTTAGGCACGTGCCTACACTTAATTTTTTTCACAAACATTTTTTTTTATTAAAAAAATAAATAAACAACGTCATCTGTAGATGCACGTGATGTCGTCAAAACTCTTAATTATCAAAAGTCATTTGTACATTAATCTATTATCCTTAGTGAATGGAGTATTTGATGGAATTGTATGTCATTATATTCCACTTTATATAGAAGCTAAAAACTTTGTTTCAGATCATTTCTCTTCTATCAACAAGTACTTGAATGAACCTCAACATGCTCAAAACCCTGACATTTTATTCTTAGATTCATGATTTTTTTTAATTAGTTGTTTTTGGCTTTCAACTAGCTTTCCACTTGGTCTTCATCCGACCTACAATAAAACCCTTGCCAAAGTTGGGCGTCCGTTTGGCTGTGCGGGATGTATAAATACGCAGTGTTTAATAATAATAATTAATAATCTGATGCCTAGTGTAGAGAGAATGCAACGCTCTCTTCTCTTTTAGAACACTTGCAACAACTCTTTGAGGGTTTCGTAGGTGGTCTGCTGAAAGGCAAAATTTCTGTTCCTATCCAATAAACCCTAATTTTCCAATGCATGGCATTTCCAAATTTCCAGACCTTCATCTTGGACGACCCCTATTACAGGACCTTCCTGTTGTATTTATTGTAAATGTGTTTTTGTCCTGAACATGCATGAACTATTTGCCACTTGACGTTTAGCAATTAATCAATCAATCAACTAGCTTTCAGTAACTTCGAGTACTCTCAGATCTACGTGTAATTATTCAAATTCCTAAGAAGGTAGGGATTTTACAG